AGAGGCTGATGCATGTAATGCATATCATTAAGAATAGTTTGCACAAAGAAATGGTTGTTATTTTGCCTAAAGATGGACTCAGTAGCTAATTAAGCACAGACTTTTTCCATGGTTATATGCAGTTTTTGCATTCCTATAACACAAACTGTTTTAGAGGGTAAGTTAAATACAGACTGCATTGAGTTTGGTAGAGAAAGTTTAAAGGTCTGCATTTTCCCACCATAGCTATTTGATATCAACTGCGGAGTGGGTGTGTGTGTGTGTGTGGAAGGGTTATGACCTCTTTTATTTTTACAACCATTGCCATGATTTCATAATGCTGGCAGCAGTCACTCCAAGTGAGGGGCTAGATTTTATTACTATAATGATATGCTAGAATGTGGGCATAAAACAGAAACACTTTTCTATAGATAATAAATGCCAATGGCAAAATCATTTTATTCAACAGATGGTCTTTTAGCAGTGGTTTGAATATTATATTAACCCCAGTAAAAGCTATGCCAAAAATGTTATACTGTACATGGGGCAAGTGCTGTGTTCTTACAGTATCTTTGTTCTAAGAAATGAATATACTTAGCAGTTAAAATATGTACAATCATAGAGACGTAGGGCTGGAAGGGACCTCAAAGGATTACCTGAGCGCCTTCCAGTAGTGCAGTAAGTGACATGACTAACATCAATCAAGTGTGTGGTTTGTTGCATTGGCACTGATTCCATGGGTGCTCTGGGGCTAGCGCACCTACAGGAAAAAAATGGTAGTTGCTGACTGGGTACCCAGTGAGTGGAGTGCCTGAGCAGAGCTGGGGTGGGGGATTATAAATTATCAGTAATTCAACCACAAAGTACCATTGCTTCTGTTTTATATATCAATAAGTCTTTGGTCAGACTGAATTAAAGTTCAGTCCCCAGTGCTTGTCACTAGTCCTTACTCCACTGACAGAAATGCAGATGTGACAATCAGGATCCAGCCACCCTAAGGAGAGAACAGAAGGTTTAACCCTCCTTCAATAAACTATTAAATCAGTGGACTGTTCACTATGATATTACACAAATGTATTGAGTAAGTTGTTTCCTGAAACATAGCAATGTTCTGAATGTGGCAGTCATGGGATATGTACACAAACCATCCTTATTAATATATACATTTGTGTGTATTGAAAACTGTGCTTGTGAACTTCAGCTCCACTGTACAGCAAAGTGGGGAGCAGTCAAGCAGGGAGGGGCACTTCTCAAGCCAATTATTTACATGAAACCACCTTCAAGTACCCATCCATTGTCCAGCCCAGGAAAAGACAATGGTGGACCAATAAAGTAATGGAGAGACATTGAGACAACTGGGAATTTCCCCACGAATACCTAGAAACCATCTTCAAGACAGACCCAAGAAAACCAACAATAGAACACCACTTGTCCCCCACCTACAGCCCCCAACTTAAACCTGTCCAACACATTATCAATAAACTACAACCTATACTGGAACAGGATACTAAACTCCCAGAGGCTCTGGGAGACAGACCCATAGTCTCCTATAGACAACCACCTAACCTCAGGATGATTCTTACTAACAATCACAGGTGTGGAAGAAAACATTGTCCTCACTCTGAGTTTGTAAGCAACAAGTAGCCAGAGGCAGTTTTATTATGAGCTGCAGCAAGGGAAAAACACTAATACCAACCTGGAACCTTCCCTTGCAACAAACCCCGTTACCAGCTTTGTCCACATATTCAGTCTGCTGATACTATTATTGGACCTAACCAATTGAGTTATAAGATCAAGAACACATATTCCTACTCATCCAGAAATATAATTTATGCTATCATGTGCCGAAAGTGTCCGTCTGCTTTGTACATTGGACAAATGTCTCAGACACTTCGCCAAAGAATCAATGCCCACAAAACAGATGTTAGACAGGATCATAAAGAAAAAACAGTTTCTTGCCATTTCAACCAGAAAGGGCATTGTCTCAATGACTAGATTACCTGCATCCTGCTTCAAAGACCTTTTCACATCAAACTTGAAAGAGAATCCTCTGAACTGTCATTCATGCTTAAATTCGACACTTTACACCTCGATCTAAACAAAGACATTAATTATCTTCCCCATTACAAAGATAGCTTCCCCAATTATAACCTCTAATATCATTAGCTCACAGACCTTTACCTCCCCCCCCTTCTGTTCTGACATGTGATTTGTCCTTTTCATATGTGTTAATTTTTTTGATTGTATCCTTTGGTATATATGGTTGTGCCACTTTTCTTCCACTATTTGATCTGAGGAAGGGGGTCTGGCCCACGAAAGCTCATCATCTAATAAACCATCTTGTTAGTCTTTAAAGTGCTACATTGTCCTGTTTTTTGTTTCAGCTACACCAGACTAACACGGCTACCATTCTATCACTTTAAAATTGAAGGCATTTAGAGCGAAACTGAGGGAGAACTTGTAGGCAGGAAGTTGTCTGTGAACACTAGATTCCTCCTGTGGGTAGGGGGGGGGGATGTTGGGAACCTGTTCAAAGTCAGTCAGTAGCTGAGTTGTATGAGGAAAAGGAAGTGCAAAGCCTGCTTTGAATTGGTGATTTTCTATTTATTTTGGTTGCCAACCCTCCAGGATTGTCCTGGAGTATACTGCATACAGGAATTAAAGATTAATGTTTAATTAAAGGGTGTGTCATGTGCTGAAACCTCCAGGAGTTCCTCCAACCAGTGCTTTTTTCATGACAGTACTGCCCAGTATGTAGTACTGGCACCTCCAGTAAGAGCTTACCTGGAAAGAACGGGGCGTACCGGCACTTCTGTATGTAAATGTTCGACAGTTGGCTGGGCTGCATGTCTTAAAGGGGCCATGTCTCTTAAAAGGGCAATGTTAGCCCCACCCTGGCTTTTTTTGGTTGGTTGGTTTTTTGCTCAACAACTTTTCCCCTGGAGTAGTGACACCTTTTTTCTACAAAAAAAACAACACTGCTTCCAACCAAACTTGGCAACCCTATTAAATAAACTCTTTGTTTATTTTTAGCCCAAGCATGTCTCTCATGTGCAGACTGTATGGATGGAGGTGAGTGCCAAAATAAGCCGATAGCTGGGGGATGAACCATAGGGGAATGGCTGAGGTGTCCAGTGCTTAAGAAGTCAGGCAGGAGGGATTTAGGGGAAAGCTTTGGACTGAAGGGGCTGTTGGAGTCATCCTGCAAGGAGTGACTAGCTTGGTGAGAGCCAGGGTGAGACCGTATGGTTGTGAGCAGGCTACCCATGTCAAGGAGTCATAGCCACATGCCTCCCGGACACCTGGAAGTGACAGAGAACACAGTGACAGGATCCTTCCCTAGTCTAAGTATATCCCCAAAATATCATGTGGCATTTGTCTAATGTCTACCCCGGTGTAGGATCCTCTTGACATGGCACTGACTGCTGCTATCCCACTGTTTGTATGAGTGATTGCCCCAGGACTAGGAGAGAAGGGGAATCAGTAGCTCAGACCACTGTCTATCATGCTGACCAATAAAGTCCCATCTTTTGTCTCTTGACTTAGACCGTAAACTCTACAGCGGAGGACTGTTTATTTGTTCTATGTTTGTACAGTGCCTAGCACAGTCAGACCTGGTCCATGACTACGGCTCCTGTGAACAAGAGTAATACAAAAAATAAATAATAAGACAATTTATGTAAGAATTTGCCACTGATAAGAATAATGTTGGCAGAATAGCACCAGCAGGGTTCAGAGTCCTGTGCTGCATGCCCCACCAGTCACTGAGAATACAGAACCCTTTTGATAGCAGAAAAAGGAATCTTTTGTAAAAGAGTATTATTTATATTGCACCAATGGTGGAGGGCAGGGGACACAAGGAAGCAGTTCTAAAGAATTTAGAATCCAAAGATATGACTCTGCCACCCATAGCTTCTGATTTCAATAGGGTTACTTGCAGAGTAGGGTGGTACCCCATGTAAGGATGGCAGAGTTGGGCCCTATGTTATGATAATGAAAGTGGCATAAAAAGGGGGAAATCACAAAGCTTAGTGCTACTGATTAAACTAAGAGAAACCCTCAGGGCACTCACAGGACTCGCTGTTGGCACCAAATCTTTTCTGACGAGGAAGCGGTGCTTTGTGCCTGTGTTTACGCATGCCCTCTTGGAGACTGCAGATAAAATACTGAAGGGGATGATATTTTCAAAAGAGGTTGATCAGTTATCTAACCCAGTGTTCAAGGGAAGATGCCAGGGCGCCCCTTTTAAATGGCTAGCAGGGGTTGAACTTACCTTTACAACTTGACTCTTCTTCTTTCCCTTAGTCATTGTCTTTTCCATGCTTACTGTTCAGTTACACATTATCCAACAACTGCAGCAGTTCTCTATTTTCCATTCTCAGTCTCCGTTGCTTCCTGTAGCTCCCATTGGCTATCCATGGCAATGGGAGTTGCAAGCACCTGTAACAGGAGAGGCACAGGTAAATTGAACAGCAGCAACCTGCTAGGGGCTAAACCACTGCTGGCAAACCACTGCTGTCTTATTGCCCACCTCTGGTCTAGTCCAAAGTGTTTAATGATCAGTGAATGTTCTGGTTTATCTCATGAGAAAGGTGCAGCACTGTTCATTATGCTGCATGATCACTCAACTCACACTTTGGGAAACATTGAGAGCTAAGCACAGTTAGCTGCCTGGTCATCACCTTTATGTAGTTTCTCATCTAGACTTACAGTCCTGAAAACCTTACTAAGACAGTATAGCTGTGTCTACACTGGCCCGATCTTGTGCCAAAGCGGCTGCTCTTGAGCAAAAACTTGCTGCCTGTCTACACTGGCCGTGTGTTCTTGCGCAAGTAAACTGACGTTCTACTGTATAAAATCAGGGCTTCTTGTGCAAGAACTATGATGCTTCCACTCAGGAATAAGCCCTCTTGCGCAATTGAATTTCTTGCACAAGAAAGCCCTATGGTTAATATGGCCATCAGAGCTTTCTTGCGCAAGAGAGCATCTACACTGGCATGGATGCTCTTGCGCAAAAGCACATCTCTTGCGCCAAAATACATGTCAGTGTAGATGCTCTCTTCTGGAAGAGTTTTTGCACAAGAACTCTTCCGCAAAAGAGTTCTTGCACAAGAAGCTGCCAGTATAGACGTAGCCTATGGGTTCTCATGATACAGGTAAATACAGGCAAAAGCTTATTTTAAAGTACATAATTTATTGTAAAAATATATTAAGGAAAACAAGACAAAATTATTTTATACACAGCAGGATTCAGCTTAAAAATCTCTGAGATACCTTAAATCACAGTAACTTGCCCTAAGAAACAGTGGGGATTTTCAATCCCTTAAAGAACTTCTTCCTCTGCTGTTGCCAATGCTGCAGTGTAGATTCAGCCTCTTTCCCAGCATGCTCAGCAGGTAGCTGGTCCTTAAGACCAGTAGCTGCAGTCCCAAAATTACCATTTTGTATCTGGCAGCTGTAGGCTCTACCCTCTCTTTTGGAAGTAGAATATTTTTAATTCCTGTTATATTTTCTTCAGTTGCCTCCTATCTGTTCTTTCTGAGGAACTGACAAATCATCATATGAAAACACTTGTGAGTACTTTTTTTTCTTTCTAAGATCTGACCTTGGTCAGCTTCCCTTTGGCTTTTAGTCAGTTTCACTTTCCAGGTCTCATGCTCTAATTTAAAGAAACAATGAGTAGTCCTGTAGCACCTTAGAGACTAAAAAAATATATAGTATCATGAGCTTTCATGGGTAAAACCACATCATCAGATGAGCAGAGAGGAAGTGGGTTTTGTTCATGAAAGCTCATGATACTGTATATTTTTGTTAGTCTCTATGGTGATACAGGACTGTTCTTTAAAGTTACAGACTAAGGGGCTACGTTTACATTGGCCCCTTTTCCGGAAGGGGCATGGTAATTTTTGAAATCGCAATAGGGAAATGCGCGGGGATTTAAATATCCCCCGCGGCATTTAAATAAAAATGTCCGCCGCTTTTTTCCAGCTTTTAGAAAAGCCGGAAAAGAGCATCTACACTGGCCCCGATCCTCCGGAAAAAGTGCCCTTTTCCGGAGGATCTTATTCCTACTTCAAAGCGCTTTTTCCGGAGGATCGGGGCCAGTGTAGACGCTCTTTTCCGGCTTTTCTAAAAGCCGGAAAAAAGCGGCGGACATTTTTATTTAAATGCCGCGGGGGATATTTAAATCCCCCGCGCATTTCCCTATTGCGATTTCAAAAATTACCATGCCCCTTCCGGAAAAGGGGCCAATGTAGACTAGCCCAGGGTGTGTCTACACTGCACCATTATTTTGAGATAACTAGCATTATTTCGAAATAACAATGTGAGCGTCTACACAGCCATTTTGTTATTTTGAAATAATTTTGAAATAATGGATGGCTTATTCTGAAATCTGTAAATCTCATTCTATGAGGAATATCGTCTATTCCAAAATAGCTGTTTCAAAATAAGGCATGTGTAGATGCTCCATTGCTGCTATTTCAAAATAGCCCCTCACCAGAGCCATTCTAAGTTATTCCTCCTCAGTGCCTCCTGGGGCTCCAAATCAAAAGAGTACGTCTACATTAGGAAAGCCTGCCTCAGACTGATTTTGAGGCTTCCCTGCAGTGTAGATGTGATCTTTTGGAATAACTATTCCGGAATAGCTTATTTTGATATAAATGTGCAGTGTAGGTGTACCCTAACACAACAACCCCTCTGAAGCTCTAGTTCAAGGATGCTAACTTTTGGTTTCCAAACACAACAAGGAAATATTTAAGTGCAAATGCAATGCTTCCTGAACACCAGAAATCATTTTTACTAATATGCTCTGCAAAACTTCAAACAAAACTGATCTGGAGATGTAATATTTCTGACACTGGACAATTTTTGTGCTGTGAGCATGATGCACAGAAAGAGGACTGTTCATATTTGCAGTTGCTGGTGTATATGTCAAAATAAAACAGCTAATAAAAAGAAAAGCAGTAGCAACAGCATGGGGCTCACTCACAAGCAACACAGCCAGTGTGTAGAAGAAGTGTGTTCTAGTTACACATGACACAAGGGCAGGACAAATGTACTGGGGATGTCCTTCACAGTCTTTTTTACATATTCTACAATATCTTCTTATGTAAGAACACTTCTTTTAACATGCCCCCAACTCCCACGCCTTCCTTGGACAAGTACATTTTTTGTAACAATGCCAAGAAAAACCCACTTTCCCTTTGTGTCTGAGTTCTACCCACCCAGCTCACTTGTGCCAGGTCTTTGATGAAGTGCAGGATCTTTCTCCACACCCATACTGTAGGCATTTTGTTTTGGTAGGATTCCCTTTCAAAATGCCAGTATGATGGAATTTTACAACTCCCTCACTACTAGCTTCAGCACTTGTAACCCCTTGTGTTACATACAGAGAAAGAAGGGAGATACTATGGCTTTTTACAACACAACTGTTGTTGTGAGGGAATAATACAGGGGCCAGATTGTATCATGTTGCTCTGTAGTAGACTGAAATATCCCCAGTGTAGAACTTGTACAACAATTGCAATGTCTTTTCCTGGGAATTTTTGAACATTCCTTTGAAAACTATTTTACACTTAAGAGAAGGGTCTCAGTGACACTTTTCCAGGCAGCAATATTGTACAGCTTTGTGGGCTTGTGCAGCCAGGCCACTTTGGGCAGGATTCAGTATGTAGTTCTCCTTACACTAGCCCTGTGTGGAGGGCCTGGTTCTCCATTGGGTTGTGTAAATGTGCCATTTTGCTTTGGGAGCATTTTTTATACTCTCTTTGCAGAGGTGTAAATGTCTACACCAGCTAAAAGATTGCACAGGATCATGCTTTCGGGCTCAAATTCAATCCTGCACCAATACTGAGCCTAGCACAGGGATTAAATAAAGAGACACTGGCTTTTGCATGTTAGCAAAGTATCACACTTGTAGTCTGGCTACAACAGCTCTCATGAGAATGTTGACAGCTGGAGAAGAGTGAGGGCATAAATGTGCCCTAATCACACTCACATTCTGTCTCTTCCGTCCTTCATACTCCCTACTCCAGAGGTATTTTCCAGCAGAGCCTTGTGATTTTTTTGCAGACACACTGCCTGCTTCACTGGTATAATGTCTGTGGTGCGCACCTCTAAAACTTTCAGTGCAGAGATGAGTTTTGCGCCTCTCACTTTCATTGCTATCCATGTTGACTAGAATGCAATGCATGACCCTAGAAACAGCAGATGGGGCTGGTTTAAAAGCTTTTTTCCCTCTATGGACCCTGGTCCAAAGCAGCGTGGCAGCCTCAGTGTGAATAGAGTCTTTGTTAGTCAGTGATGACTAGGCCATTTTGAGAACTTGGGAAAATATGCTTGGCAATTAACTCACCTAGCTACTAATAAAAATGGTCAAAATTTGCCAGGATTCTTTGCCCAAGGCAGGCACAATTAAAGTCAACGAATTGTTTACTGTGAAGGAGATAATAAGGGAAGCAAGAAAAAAAGCATATTGTTCCTTGCAGCTGTTATGTACTTTCTCATGTGTGGACTGGTTCCTTCTCTGGATTGATGGCATGTATTCTGCATACAGATCAAGAAGTTCAATAGAAAAATGCTTATCAATTGGAGGACTAAATCCTACCCTAGCAGAGGAATAAACTTAATGATCTATGGTCTTTTGAATAACTAAGTGGGAATGATCCAAATATTTGATGTTGGGCTTGTTAACAGGCCTGACTTGTTTTGTAGGAGCACTCCTAGTTGCATAGAAAGAGTTGTTCCAAGTAATGTGGCATTAGTTACATTCCTCCTCTACAGTAGGCCCAGACCACATAGGAGTAGTATACAGCTGCTTATTGAGGGGAAGGTATAAATCCTGAGAGCAGAGCATCTTCTCTCCTAACTTGGACAGTGCACTCCTTCCCATTTAAAATATTTATAACAGTCAGGACACTATATCACCTCTTTTAAGGGAACCCAGATGAGAGTGGTGACTCAAATTCAGAAACAATTCCTCTTGTCAACTACCTGGATCAGGACCATCCATTGCTTCCTTCTCTGTTTTAATCACTATCACTTATGTTATAGGGACACTGGGCTGACAGCCCTGAATTTTTTTTAAGAGACTAAAATCATAGTCTCAGTCAAGAGCTAGTTGTGTTAAATAGGTATACCTTCCATAAGCTCCCATTAATGCTTATAAGAGTTATGCATGTTAAAGAAACCCTGCACATAAGAGATGAAGCACTTTGTACCCTTCTCCTCAGGAGGAGTCCAAAATAGCGTGAGTTTGAATTAAATGAATACCTCTCAGGGTGAGCATATCTACAGACAGTCCCCGGGTTACATGGATCCGACTTACATCGGATCCCTACTTACAAACGGGGTGAGGCAACCCCGCACTAGCTTCTTCCCCCCCAGCAGACCAGGGAGACGCGAAGCTAGTGCCCCCCTCCCCCAGCAGACCAGGGAGATGCGGAGTGGCTTTTCTCAGCAGACACCTCAGCTTGAGAATAAAGGACTGAGGGAAGTGAGGTGTGGGAGAATAAAACTGAGCTCTGGAGAAATGTTTGGTTAGAATTTCCCCTACAATATGTACCAGTTCCGACTTACATACAAATTCAACTTAAGATCAAACCTACAGTCCCTATCTTGTACATAACCCGGGGACCGCCTGTACACTGCAGCTCGGAGCGAGCTTCGCACTATGGGTAGACAGACTGGCTCCAGGTTGGTTTAAGCTATCGCAGTAAAAATACCAGCGTGGATGTTGTGGCTCTAGCAGAGACTTGGACTCTCAGGGAATTGAGCTTGGATGGGTAGCTTAAATGTATGCCGCAGATGCAGTAATCCTACTGCTATTTTACCCATACTGGCTTGAACTTGTCTTCATAGGCTGAGAGATTTGCTCCTAGCTGCAGTGTTGACATACCCTAGTGTTAGTGCCTTCTGATCTAAATCCTGCTGTTCTTAGTCATCCTGAAACAGATTTTCTAATGTCACAGAACATGTTAGAGGAGGAGAAAAGGTTATTCAGCTGTGTATAGTGTGCATTTTTGCCTGCTAGGAGGAGCATCATAAAGATAAATTATCTTCATGGTTTTGTTCCAGGAAAGTCAGAAGAAAAATTCTGTTCTACATGGTAGAGGAGTGCAGAGTGGTCTAGGATCATTATGAATTTGGGGATGAAAGACATTGCTTTCCTCTGCCAACAATCCAAGTGAAGACCAGACTGCTTGTATGGCCCTGATGGATTATTGTCGGTTTTGTTGTTTGGAGGTTTCTGTGTTGAAGTGCATTTGACTGTTGTTATTTTGACCAGGGATATCAGCAACCTATTGCTGTGGATGGTGCCTACCTAGAGGAGTGCCAAGATGGATTCTGAACTCACCATTCTACAATGTAGAAAAGGCAGCTTGACTGGCTGGCTGGATGAAAGCAGAAAAAGTCTCATACATCAGCTTTTTTATGACTCTGGGTGAGTTTGGAGCTCATGCTTCCAGTTGCTGGTGAATTTCTTTTTCAGCATTTTAATTCTGCTGAGTCCTTTTCAGAGCCCAGTATCATATTCCCAGTCCAGCAATCCTTCCTGATATATGCAGAGAATCCCTGGTGAGAACACTATGCCGTCATGGGAATCTTGCAGCTGGTGCCTCCATACATGAGACATGCTGCAAGTTCCTTAGCTCTTGTTATCTCTATAAATAATTCATTCACTGGAGAGGAAGGAAGAGCCAGGCATCTAAAGCCACCACTGGGGCTGCTCAATGGCATAACTGTTTTTTCTTTGGTTGGTAGCCAGCATTGACACCATGCTGTTTTTAATGAGCTTTTCTTTTGGTGGTTAATACACAGAGGGTTGCATTAACTAAAGCAGTAAAGAAGTAGCAGGCCTTCTGTAACTCAGGTGTGCCTGGCTACCCTGAAGAACCAACCAATTTTTCCCCTCTCTATTGTGTTTGTGCTCTAGGTGGTTATGGAACTGAAATAAATTGTCATCTTGTTATCTATGTGATGCAAGCTGTAAACATCGACTAGTCCTCTAAGCCTATTGCATGAGCAGCAGCCATTTTGGGCTTCACTTCAGGTGCAGAATATTAGAGTGAGTGGGTTTCTGTGTTCTCTCTCTATTTATGATGTCATATTTGTCCTTTCTTTATCCCCTCTTTTTCCCATGATCTGAAATAAGTTAACCAAGACTGAAAAATGCTTCTTTGGATTGTTACTAGAATATAATATCTGGCATCTGGAGATGGGCTTCCTTTGGCAATAGGAGGGCTGAGGAGATTTTCTGTGTGCAATATTTTTTTGGCTGGTTAATGGTTGTAGGGGGTAGGTTGTAGGTTGTGTCGATAAGTTGTGGTTTTACTGTTTGTGAGTTGTATCTTTCTTTGAAGGCAGGGGCAGCTTGGTGTGTCAGTTGATGGGTTAAAGTGAAATAAATATCCATTTTCCCTCATATTTGAATGGGGTCTATTATGCTTTAAGGCACAGCCCTGTGTGGGAGATAAAGTTGACATGACATCTCTGGAACTGCAAGAGAGCACCTACTACAGGGAGAGGCATGCACTCCCACAGGCCCTGCTGTCAGTGCCACTCCTTCTCTACCCTTTTCAGGTAGGATACAGCAGCTGGGGGCTCTGGCCTGTGCAACGCCTCTGCTGCCAGAGATCAGAGACTGCGTATGTTCAAAGAGAGGATCATGGAGCCCCGTATCTTGCCATTGTGTTCTTGGGCACCCATTCAAGATTATGTGGCCCTCAGTTTTGAGTCTCCAATCAATCACTGAATATTGGTGAAACTCTTTTTTACACGAATATGCCTTACTCACAGAGAAAGGCCAATTAACGTCAGTGGGAATAGTCACTGCAGTAAGGGTTTCTTTGATATCCTCTCCTTCCCTTCTTTGTTTCTGTTACACACATTTATTAAAATTAATCCCTACCCAAAGAACATTTTAGAGCTAGTCCCTACATTTTCTTTTGTCTCAGTCTCTTGAAAGAGCTTGGAAAGAAAACACTGGGAAGTTTTATTTTAGGGTTCATTGTGTACACACATGCCCTCCTCCCAATACACTCCACTCAGTGCTCATACACGGGTACCAATTTCTCCCTTTCTTCCCTTCCCACCGTGATAGCTTATGAGAGCCTAAGAGAGGAAGATAGGGGTTTGCAGAGCAACAACTAGATTAAAAGATGTTTGAGTCTGTGACTAAAGAGTTGGTGTTTGGAATGAACAGTGTGCATACAAAACAGAGTAGCCTTAGTCTTGGTGGATGTAGAAGAAAGGAAGGACAGAAAGACTTTGGAAAGGAGAGGTTAGTCAGCAACAGCTTTGCACTCTGTATGTAGACTATGGGGTGCAATATAATACCCGTCTCTTTGGAAAACAGGCAGCAAGAAAGCCAAGTTCCCTGTATTCTCTGGGGTTAGACTGCCTTTGCTAACAGCTGAGTGGAAAAAGGGCACAGGCAAATGCTGGGTTAATCTACAGTGAAAGCAATGGTGTGGGTCCCAGTCAAAAGCCCCACCAGCCTGGAGTATTTCCATGCCAAGCCTTCACCAGAGTACTGTTCCTAGTAAATAATTAACAATTTTCACAGGAAAATAACACGTGGAGCAAGAGATATAATTCTCCTGTTGCCTACACCCGTGTCAATCTAGGGCAACAACAGAAGTACTTCATCCACATCCTTTCTATGCTAGGGAAGTCCCCAAACAGCTCATTTACTGGCTTTCCAGCATCATGCCAAGCAGGCCCAATGGTGGCCAGGAGCTTGCCCAGCACTTCAACCAAAGGAGGTAGTGTAGTGCATTAAAGCTGCTGTCCTGAATTCAGCACTTGCCTTCCAGGAGCCATTTCATTCAACAGAGGAAAAGCTTTCTCTCTAAGCACAGCCAACAGTGTCACTGTTCGGTGTTAGTAACAGGCCCGTGGGAATTATGCACACAACGGAAGTGAAGCCTATAGCCGTCAGTGTCCTTGGGGCAGCCAACAGCCTGGCTGCCAACTTGCTTCCCACGTTCGTTCAATGTCCATTTTGTAACCCTCTTACTTGGAATGTTTCTTTAATTCCAGATAACTCAGTGAGCTGGTTTCTGCACTTGTAACAGTCTATCTGATATTCCTTGACTCCTCACTTGTTTGGTGTCCCATAGTTTGGCAGGTGCTATTGTTCTGCTGCAGTACAAACAGCAGGAAGCTTGCAAATTCTTCAGGACTACTTGCTTGAACCCATAAAAATCAACATGCTTAAAGCTCTCTTGGGCTGTAAAACATAGCAGTTACATGGAGACTAAAGAAGGGCAGAGGTTATGGGATTGTTCCTTTGATTCTAAATATGACAATGCATAGAGTGGAACAAGGAAACTCCCTAATGCAAGCAATCTCTTACTGCATGCTCAGACTCTCCCTTGTGCTAGAGTTCCCATTACTGATCTAAGCATGGATGATCTGATAATACTATGAATTATAAAACTAGACAGTACAACAATCCTATTTGACTCTAAATTTTCATCAAAAATTCCACCAGGGACTATCATAGCATATTGAACTCTACATGTAACTGTGAGCTTGGCAGCCCTGTATTAAGATAGGCCAAGAATCATCACATTAACAAATAATGATGCAGCCACGTTTTGTAAACACACCAGTGATGGCTAAGCTCCCATGAAAAGCTGCAAGTCTTTGAAAACAGAAATGTTTATCCTTTGGCTATATTCAAGAGTTGTGTATAAAAATCAAATGCAAATTAAATAAATAGATGTTCAAACTGGAGGATTCCCCAGGGGAGCAAGTCTCTGATTAGAGAGAGAGGAGAAGAAATGAGGCTTGATCACTGGAGCTGTGCTTTCACTTTTGGTTATCTGGTTTCACTTATTATGTATGACATCAAGATTTCAGATTTAAAGAGAGACCAAAATCCTAGTGCCTGTGGCAGCTTATGTTTTACTTACTCATTTTCCATTTACTGCTGACTACATATATGTTCTGCATGCCCCTGCTCTGTTACATACTTTACTAATTGATCCATGTGATGCACAAAGCAAATACGATTACAGTACTAAAGGATTCACACACACACACCAGCAAAGCCTGGAAGAAACTCCTAGTCCTTCATCTTAAACACATACGGTTCTATTACTTGAGATATTTCGTTAACAGCCTCTTTGGGTGAGCACACACACACACAAGCTCTCTCTTTCACACACACACATGCACACAGTGTGTTACACTGTGATAACCAATAGATGAGTATTATAACATTCCAATTTCATTCTCTATTTAATCCTGTTATAATTCACATAAGAAGCATGACCAAGTGCGGTGAGCATGTTACCTCCTTCCTTGACTCTAAAACTCTACAATATGAATTCTGGAGGTGGTGAAGGGGAAATAGTTTCAGGTCATCTTAAAACCAATGTTGGGGAATTATTGGTGAACAAAAAAGTTGGAAAATCATTTGGGTTTGGTCAAAAAAATGTTTAATTTCAATTTAGGACATTTTTTAATCTTTAAAAAATGAAAGCAAATGGCTAGATTCACAGAGGAACTTAGGCCCATATATCCCAGGGTATTCACTTGGGACTCTGTGTTTTAGGAAAGAGACCTTTCCCCTTTCCAGGCAAGTGCCTCAGCTATTGACTATTCTGCAGCAGGGGCCTCTCAATCTCTTCTATTAAAGCTGTTCCACTTTGCGTAAAGTACTTAAACACTCACTGTGAGAGTTAGATAATTGATTAATAATAGCATAAATTAAACATTTTACTGCCCCCTCCCCTTGGCCTGACACCTTACCCCCAGACGGCTCCTGCCCTCTCCCTTGCTCCTGCCCCCTTCTTCCTGGCCAGATACCCACCTTCAGATTGCTTCTGCACCCTCCCCTAGCCAGACACCCTGCCCCAAGCCTGCTCCTGCACCCTGCCTTGCTCCTGCACCCTCCTTTCTGGCCATACACCCTACTTCCAGCCTTTTCTCCCACCCAGACCTTGCACCCTCCACTCCACCTCCTGCCCAGACCCTGCACCCCCATCCCTATCCCACTCACTGGCAGCCCTGTCCTACAAACATAACCCCTCATTTTTGGCCCCACTCCAGAACCTAGGAGGGGCCACAAAATCCATTAACTCTGGAATCCCAGAAGAGTAAATGTGCCCTGAAGCCTTGAACCTCAGTCCTCCCTGCTTTCCTTGAGGAATAATGCTAATTTCAAAATAGTTATTTTGAAATAGCAGTAGTGTGGATGCTCAGGTGCTGCTATTTCAAAATAACTACTCTGCAGAGTAATTCAAACTAATTACTCTTTAGTACTTCATGAGGCTCTAAGCTGAGGTAGTGCATCCACATTTACAGAGTTTGCCTTGGACTAATTTCGAGGCTTTCCTGTATTGAGGGCATGCTATTTTGACTTTGTTATTTTGGGAGTTATCAAATCGATGTGAGTTGTTTTGAAATAGTTTCCTAGTGTCGACATGCCCT